AAAAAAAGAGTTCTGAACTAATGGACTGCAGACATAGTACAGGAGATGACCAGAGACTGCGGACAGTACAGTGATGACCAGAGACTGCGGACAGCACAGGGATGACCAGAGACTGCGGACAGCACAGGGATGACCAGAGACTGCGGACAGCGGGAATGACAGGACTGAGCACAGGGATGACCAGAGACTGCGGACAGCACAGGGATGACCAGAGACTGCGGACAGCGCAGGGATGACCAGAGACTGCGGACAGCACAGGGATGACCAGAGACTGCGGACAGCGCAGGGATGACCAGAGACTGCGGACAGCGCAGGGATGACCAGAGACTGCGGACAGCGCAGGGATGACCAGAGACTGCGGACAGCACAGGGATGACCAGAGACTGCGGACAGCACAGGGATGACCAGAGACTGCGGACCAGGGATGACCAGAGACTGCGGACAGCACAGGGATGACCAGAGACTGCGGACAGCGCAGGGATGACCAGAGACTGCGGACAGCACAGGGATGACCAGAGACTGCGGACAGCACAGGGATGACCAGAGACTGCGGACAGCACAGGGATGACCAGGGATGACCAGAGACTGCGGACAGCACAGGGATGACCAGAGACTGCGGACAGCGGGATGACCAGAGCGGACAGCACAGGATGACCAGAGACTGCGGACAGCACAGGGATGACCAGAGACTGCGGACAGCACAGGGATGACCAGAGACTGCGGACAGCACAGGGATGACCAGAGACTGCGGACAGCACAGGAGATGACTGCTGACCTTTGGGGAGGGGGGGGAGCGGGTACCTGAATTTGACAGGTACCCGCTCTTACTTCCGCAGAGTAGTGTGGGCGCTCGGCATGACAGCCAGATGCCCAGTGCGTATGAGCAAGAAGCACTTGCGCTTTGTGATTGGTCCGGCGGCTTCTGGGATCTGTCATGTGTCCCAGGTACCGCCTTACCATTCACAAAAAGCACCGCTTCTTGCGCATGCGCACTGGGCACCCGGCTGTCATGCCCACACTACAGAAGCCAGGAAGACAGCGCACCGCTGGATAAAGGAACAGGTAAGATCAAAGAACAACTCCGCGGAAGTAAGAGCGGGTACCTGTCAGATTCAGGTACCCGCTCCCCACCTCCCCAAAGGTCAGCAGTCATCTCCATAAGGTCCCGCTGCAGAGCTGAGCGGCCGGCCCGGTATTCTGACACGGCCGCGGTGGAAATACCGGACCGGCCGCTCCATATTCGCTCCATAAGACGCACTGACATTTTCCCCCCTTTTTTGGGGGGAAAAAAAGTGCGTCTTATGGAGCGAAAAATACGGTATTTTGTTTAGCCAAATTAGTTACCAAACACGGATGTTTAAGCGAATCACATATGCTGGAATGTTATTGTTTCAGTTGAATAAATCTATTTAAATTGTTATTATTAAGGTAATGATTATTTTTCTCCTTCCTAAGTACAACAGAAAAGTTGTCCAAATATGAATGATTAACCTATTAAACTGGGGATAAAAACACTAATATGAAAAGTTGTTATTCTAAAAATCTTCATCTACTTGTATATTAAAGTTATACCAGCAAGAATTAGTCTTTATGTAGAAAACTAGGATTTACATCCAGCCTGACTGACTAGTGATTTAAATCAAATCCCCCCTGCTTGTGACAGCAATAAAAGTGATGAAAAAAAAAAATTTAAAGTGACAGTGTAATAAAACAAAAAAAACTGAAGTGCCCCAGCACTCGTGCGCAAAGGAGCATGACGCGTCGGACTCACACGCATGCAAACGGCAATCGCCACAATCGTCAGATCACGGGCAGTAATTCTAGCACCAGACTTCCTCTGTGAATATTGAGTGGTAACCTGTAAAAGCTTTTAAAGCGTCGCCTATGAATAGTTAACTTTACGACGCTTGTTGCCGTTGGACGGGTATGCGCAATTTTAAAATATATGTTTGGCGGTTCAAAGACATTTTCTAGCAAAAAATACTAATTTTAAAATGTAAAAAAAAGTGACAGAAATGGCTTGGGGCTGAAGTGGGTAAGAGATCTAAGCAGGGATTTACTTCTGTAACAAAAGGCAGGTCACTATAGCCCACCTATTAGATGCTCCTAGAAATGGATCTTATCCTGGTTGCAAATTAGCAAACAATTTCTACTACCACTCTCCTGTAACTAAAGGAAAAACTTTTTTTTTTTTTTTTTTTTTTAGTTTTGGACAGAGTGGAGAGGGATGAGACCCCCTGTCAGTTTTTATGGCTGTCTGTGTCCCCCATTAGGGAGATTCCCCCTCTCGGTTTGTCCTGTTTACTAGTATCATTGAAAGTTGATACCAGAACGGTATCAGATCAGAACCCCTTCAATGGGGACAGTAGTTCTGGTGACACCCCAGGATTTCTTCACTTCAGAGGGATTTCCTCTCACTTCCTGTTCGGCTGTGGTACAGGAAGTGAAGGGAAATCTCCTCTATGGGACACAGATGGCAAAAAATAAACTGACGGGATATAACACTCCCTTACTCTAGCCAAAATGAAAAAAAAAAATGTCTACTTTAACCCCTTCCCAACCACCCTGGCATCCTCTTCAACTACTTGCCGTCCGGCCTATGGTCAAATGACAACCAGGCGAACACTTCGTCCCTCCAGGAGGGCGCCAAATGACGTGCTTCCTGGATTGCACTCTGTGCGTACCTGCAGGGCCGTGCTGTGGCGTGATCTGTCACCAGCTGTGTACCTCGGACACGGCAGATGACAGATCTGTGTACCGGCCCTGTTGCCAGTACCATGTGACCTATTGTGACCAATCACAGCAGGTCACATGACAGTTGTCTACAATGGCTGGCTTCCTTTCATGCCATCTATTGTAAACAAATGTGTCTAGCTGTGAATGGTCACAGCGACCAAATGCACAGACTGAGTCAATCACAGCCCATCTGTGTCATGTGATTAGCCGTGGCCAATCACAGCTAATCACAACAAACAAAAACCCTGAACTAATTGATTTCATTCAGTTAAATGCTTGTTTATAGCCAAGGAATTCTATAAGCAATCAAATTGCGTAAAAAAAAAAATACTACTGATCACTTGTTATAGGGAACAATTCAACCAAATGATGCAAACAAAGGGGCACAATTCCTACTAATAATAAATGCCCATAGTGGTGACGTAATGTCATCACCCGCTTGCCACTACTATGCATGGGCCAGGTATTGGTCTCCTTTTCCAAGGATGCAATAAAGCCGACTACTCAGTATTATCCCTTGTAATTACTTTTTATTGATTACATGGCAGGGCACAGCAATAACTCGCTAACACGTTTCGACCAATAGCATCATGAGTAAGGCTTCATCCAAAACATGTTAGCGTGTTATTGCTGTGCCCTGCCATGTGATCAACAAAGAATCATTACAATGGATGCTATGGAGGAAGTTTTTTTCTTCCTATTGGCGCCATTTTGGCTTATCGCTAACACTCTACACTACCCCCAGAGCAGATCTGGCAGTTAGTGACAGTATTGCCGATCTCTTGTAACCTGAAGTCCTCTAACCCCCCCGATAACTTGGTTACTATGGTAACATTATACTACTTTGGTCATAGTGCAGTATGAAAAAAAAATCTTAAAAAAAAGAGAAAAAAATTTAATAAAAAATACATTTTTTTTTCCCATACTGTCACCAGTCAGTGTCCCTGATCACCGCCATACCAGTTATATGCCGATACTGCACGGTGACAGTATGTAAAAAAAAAATAAATAAATAAAAGTGAAAATTTGTTTAATTTCTTCATTTTCTGAAATGACAAAAAAAATTACAACTTCAAAAAAAAAAAAAAAAAAAACTCGCCGTGCCTCTTATGAAATACGTCGGACTGTCTGCTTTGCAAAAAAGGGGTCATTTGGGGGATATCTGTACCATGCTGACATTTGGGGGGATATCTGTACCGTCCTGACATTTGGGGGGATATCTGTACCGTCCTGACATTTGGGGGGATATCTGTACCGTCCTGACATTTGGGGGGATATCTGTACCATCCTGACATTTGGGGGGATATCTGTACCGTCCTGACATTTGGGGGGATATCTGTACCGTCCTGACATTTGGGGGGATATCTGTACCGTCCTGACATTTGGGGGATATCTGTACCGTCCTGACATTTGGGGGGATATCTGTACCGTCCTGACATTTGGGGGATATCTGTCCTGACATTTGGGGGATATCTGTACTGTTCTGACATTTGGGGGATATCTGTACTGTTCTGACATTTGGGGGATATCTGTACTGTTCTGACATTTGGGGGATATCTGTACTGTTCTGACATTTGGGGGATATCTGTACTGTTCTGACATTCTTGGACCTCAAGAAATTAGATTGGCTGTCAGTACTTCAGGATTGATCAATATTCAGATCTATACCATAGTTTGTGAACTCTATAACTTTCCTACAAACTAAATAATACATCCTAATTTGTGTTATTTTCACCAAAGACATGTAGCAGAATACATCTCGGCCTAAATTTATGAACAATTATTTATTTGCAAACTTTTATAACAGAAAAAGAAAAACGTGTTTTCAAATATTCAGTCTTTTTTTTTTGTTAATTTAGCAAAAAATAGTAGTGATTAAATACCACCAAAAGAAAGCTCTAGATGTGTGAACAAAATGATAAAACTTTAGTTTGGGTACAATGTTGTATGACTGCACAATTGTCAAAGTGTGAGAGCGCTGAAAGCTGAACATTGGCCTGGACAGGAAGGGGGTAAAAGTGCCCGGAATTGAAGTATTGAAAGCTTTTAAAGCCCGGGGGGGGGGGGGGAATGGGAAGGATCGGTGATTGTGACCACTATGATTGGCTGTCACAGTGGTCACATGATTAGAAGCTGGTCCTGCCGGCGACATATAGGTGCAACAGGTGCATGTTAAAGCCCAGCTTTTTGCCGCAGCAAGCAAGCGTTGCCGCAGGGTAAAGGGGTTAACTAAAAGAAACAGAAGCCATGTAATCATTACCCACCTTTTTCTTTTCCTCCACCTGTTGGACACACCGCATCCTCCAGCTGTCAATCTCAGCCTCTCTCTCTGCAACGCGTTCTGCTGCCTCCTTTTCCTCCTCGCTTACTTGCCTTCTGCGCTGCCCGCGAAGTCTCTTCTTACGTATTCTACCCAATTTCAATTTAACACATTCAATAAACCCCGGCTTCTCTAGTTCCTTTATTCTTTTCGCCAGATCTCCTTTTATGTCTTTGGCTTTTTCATAATCTCGATCCCAAGAGGGTCCTTCCTCTTTATTCTTTTCCAGACTCTGACACAAGGAGCTGAGTTGTGAGACAAGGGTCAAGGCACCATATATTAAGTTCCGGGCCTCTGGTATAGAAACAGGTTGAACAGATTCAGGCTTCGAAGGAGGAAGCTTATTTCTCCGATATGTCGAGAAGTTGTACAGCCACCGCTGAAAGAGGTCCTTATTTGATGGATCTTCCACCTGCATCTCACTTTGCCTGCTTGGGTTCATCAAACTTTTCTCATTAAAAATTTGCTGTTGTGCGAGTCGCTGATCTCTAATGATGTCCGGTACATCTTGGTGGAAAAAATTGGCACCGCCTACTTGAAAACTATTCTTACTAAAAAATGGATTGTTTTGCATACCAATTACTTCAGAAGTTGTATAAGGATCAGGTTGGTGTCCAGGTCTTATCTCCTGATGCAAGTGGATGTCCTGCCTATGAAGATTCAAAAGAGTTGTATCGTCTGACCTTTCTGGCTCCTGAGCTTGAGTCGGAATATGAGAGACCTCCTGGCCACCTTTCATGGAAGGGCCACCAAATACAGCATCCATTTGAGGATTAAAAAAAGATGGATTGGTTGGAGGATTAGGTGGAGGTCCATGAAGAGATGGAGGAAAACTGTAATGGCTTTGTACAGGATTGATGGGATGTTGAATATTTTGAGAAGGCCCTGGTGGTAGTTGTGTAGAGCTCTGCTGTATAATACTTGGAGGTGGTACTCTATGGTTGAACATATCGTTTGGTAGTGGCCTATTCAAAGATATTGGATTAAATCCTTCAGGTTGAGAGCCTCCAAAAGATGAAATCCCAGGTTCTCGAGACTGGGGAGTTCTTTGAAAACTCTGCAAATCTTCCACCCTGAATGTGTCTTGTCCAGGTCCTTTCTGCTGCAACTCATTCAAAAGCTGGCCTTCCTGGTGAGTTTCACCAAACTGAACGTTACTGGGTTTGGATGGTGCACTCTTAAAATCACCAGGACTGTGGGCCTCCACCATGATGAAATGTTCTCTGGTCAGTACTGGCCAAATGAGGAGGAATACTGACCTGTTTTGCTCCATGAAGAAATTCTCTCTGTTCCATGCTTGTCAAATGAGAAGGAATACCAGACTGGAGACCTCCATGATGAAATACTCTCTGATCCATACGAGGAAGAATATCAGACTGGAGACCTCCTTGCTGAGATATTCTTTGATCAGTGCTAGCCATATGATGAATACCAGACTGAGCAGCTCCATGCTGAGATAGTCTCTGCTCAATACTATCCATACGAGGAGAAATATCTGACTGGGGATCTCCATGCTGAGGTACTCTAGGCCCAGTGCTGACCATATGACCTCCATGCTGTAATACTCTCTGGTCTGTGCTGGTTACATCGGGAGAAATATGCAGGCTATGCCGAGATAATCTATGCTCATCACTGGTCATATGATGAGGAATCTCCAACTGGGGACCTCCATGCTGAGATAGTCTAGGACCACTGCTGGCCATATGAGGAATACCTGACTGAAGCCCTCCATGCTGAGATATTTTCTGTTCAATGCTGGCTATGTGAGGAGAAATATCCAACTGAGAACCTCCATGCCGCTCAATGCTGGCCATATGAGGAATACCAGACTGTGGACCTCCATGATTAAAAGCTCTCTGCTCAATGCCAGTCATATGAGGAGGAATACCAGACCTAGGATCTCCATGGCGAGATGCTCTCTGATCATTGCTGGTCATATAAGGAGGAACACCAGGCTGATGACCTCTCTGCTCAGTGTTGGTCATATGAGGAGGAGTGCCAGACCTAGGATCGTCATGCTGTGATGTTCTCTGCTCAGTGTTGGTCATATGAGTTATGCAATGCTGAGGACCTCCATGATGAGATGTTCTCTGCTCTGTGCTGGCCATACGAGGAGGAATATCTGAATGAGAACCTCCATGCTGCTCAGAGCTGGCCATATGAGGAATACTTGACTGAAATAACCCATACTGCAATGTTCTCTGCTCCATGCTAGCCATATGAGGAGGAATGCTCAACTGAGAACCTCCATGTTGCTCAGTTCTGGCCATACGATGACCACCAAGCTGAGGATCTCTATGATACGATGTTCTCTGCTCCTTGGTGAGCATATGCGGGAAGAACAGCAGACTGTGGACCTCCATGCTTCTCAATGTTCACGATATGAGGAATACCAGGCTGAGGATCTCCATACTGTAATGTCCTCTGCTCTATGCTGGCCATACGGGGAGGAATATCAAAATAAGAACTTCCGTGCTGCTCAGCGCTGGCCATATGAGGATTACCAGGCTGAGGACCTCCGTGAGAAGATGTTCTCTGTTCCTTGATGAGCATATGAGGAGGAATCCCAATCTGAGGACCTCCATACTGCGATGTTCTCTGCTCTATGCTGGCCATACGAGGAAGAATATCTGAATGAGAACCTCCATGCTGCTTAGTGCTGGCCATATGAGGATCACCAGGCCGAGGACCTCCATGGAGAGATGTTCTCTGCTCCTTGGTGAGCATATGAGGAGGAATAGCAGACTGAGGACCTCCAAGATGAGTTGCTTTCTGCTCAGTGCTGGTCCTGTGAGCAATACCCGTCTGAGGACCGCCATATTGCAATGTTCTCTGCTCTATACTTTCCATCCGAAGAGAAATATCTGGGTGAGGACCTCCATGCTTCCCAATGTTGGCCATATGAGGAATCCCAGGCGGTGGACCTCCATGGTGCTCAATGCTGGCCACATGAGGAATCCCAGGCGGTGGACCTCCATGGTGTGGACCTCTCTGCTCAGTGCTGGCCCTATGAGGAGGAAGCCCAGGCTGAGGCCCCTCCCCTCCAGCACTGCCATAAGGGAACAGACCTGACTGCTCCTCGTGCTCTTCTACTGAATAGGCCCGTCCATGGTGGAAGTGCTCCGGCTCCAGGGTCCCACACCGTCCGCGCTCCTCCCCTCCCGTCCTCTGAGAGCCTCCCTGTCCACACTGCGCATTCTGAGCTCTGCTGTCCCAGGCCCGTCCATGGGAGAAGTCCGTGTACGACCCGGGACGGGGATAGTGAGGAGAGGCTTCCTGATAATAGTCCCCGGGCTGGCCTGAATGGTCGCCGCCATAGCGAGGCCTGCTCCAAGAGCCATCGTCCTGCTGCCGCCTCTCCATGACAACAAGGAAGTGAGGCGGAAGTCGTCAGAGAGCACGTGAGAAGGGCGAACCTCAGCGCGGATATTGTATATAGAGCATCACCTAGTGGCTGGAGGGTGAACTGCGACACCTTGTGGCTGGAGGGTGAACTGCGACACCTCGTGGCTGGAGGGTAAACTACGAGACTTAGTGGCTGGAGGGTGAACGGCGACACCTAGTGGCTGGAGGGTAAACTACGAGACTTAGTGGCTGGAGGGTGAACGGCTACACCTAGTGGCTGGAGGGTAAACTACGAGACTTAGTGGCTGGAGGGTGAACGGCTACACCTAGTGGCTGGAGGGTGAACGACGAAACCTAGTGGCTGGAGGGTAAACTAGGAGACTAAGGCTGGCCATACATTATACAATTATCTGGAGATATTTGGTTTAGATTTACCAAAAACCATATAATAGGAGGACACACCTAAACAACACTTTCAGTTGTATCCAATTAGGCAGGCCCTTGCACTACACAGTTGAGGGTAAATCTAAAGGAAATTGGGCAGAAAATTGGAAGATAATTGTATAATGTATGGCCAGCCTTAGTGGCTGGAGGGTGAACGGCAACACCTAGTGGCTGGATGGTGAACTGCGTCACCTAGTGGCTGGATGGTGAACTGCGACACCTAGTGGCTGGATGGTGAACTGCGTCACCTAGTGGCTGGAGGGTGAACGGCGTCACCTAGTGGCTGGAGGATGAACAGCGACACCTAGTGGCTGGAGGGTGAACGGCGTCACCTAGTGGCTGGAGGATGAACAGCGACACCTAGGGGCTGGAGGGTGAACGGCACCTAGGGGCTGGAGGGTGAATGGTGAAAACCTAGTGGCTTGAGGGTAAACTGCGACAGCTAGTGGCTGGAGGATGAACAGCGACACCTAGGGGCTGGAGGGTGAACTGCAACACCTAGTGGCTGGAAAGTGAACTGCGACACCTAGTGGCTGGAGGATGAACTGAACCACCAAGTCCACATTTAAAGCCCCCCCCCCCCCCCCCCCCCCCCCGATCACATTAGAGTCCCTCCTACAGATCAGAGCCCCCCTTTCCATCAAAGTCCCCCCATTCTATTTGAGAGCCCCACCACATAGGAGTCCCCTTTTCACATCAGAGTCCCCTCCCCATCACATCAGAGTCCCTCCACCACAAAAGATCCCCCCTTCCCATCACATAAGAGTCCAAATACAACAGAAGCCACCTCCTTTTCTATTTAAGTCCCTCACCACATAACAGCCCCTCCTTCCCATCAAAAATCCTGTACCATAGATCAAAATTTTTAGATTTTTGTAAAATTAAAAAAAAAAACCTCTAAAAGAACATTACTTACTTGAAAACGAACCAGTAAATAAGCTGATCTGCATAATCGATTAGTGAGTTCCTGTTCCCACACAGGGGCTCTGGAGGTAAGGAGTCTTTCTCAGCAGGGAGTACAGAATTCATTATATTTTGTGCCAGGATATAGGCAGACACCTCGACAACCTGGCCTGAGATCTCCGCTGATCCCAAGGAATAGTAGAACATGGCCTGTGCTCCATGAAAGGGGTGGCAGAGTTGGGAGTGTGCTCTAGTGATAGGCCTGGTGAAACTCCTGACTGGAGGGTCTCCCTAGAAGGATTACATAGGAGCCCCCTATCCATTTCAGGTCTTCCATCACATATAAGTCCTCCCATCTGAGGTTTCTGCTTAAGATTCCCCCAAACATATTAGAAGCTCCCCTTCCCGTTAGTTCCCAGCATCACATTGTTTCCTAGATACACAGAACATTTATAGGTAAAGTTAATCCAGGGAATATCCGATTGCCTCTCGGGGGATCAGGAAGGAATTTTTTTCCCAGCAGGAGCAAATTGGATCGTGCTTTGCTTGTTTTTTTTTGCCTTCCTCTGGATCAACTGTGGGTGTAGGATTATAACTTTTTTTTTCTATGGTTGAACTGGATGTACTTTTGTCTTTTTTCAGCCAGACTATGTAACTATGCAATACGGATGATATACACTATATTGCCAAATGTATTGGGCCAGCCCTCCAAATCATGTGATTCAG